CCGCCAGTCCTCGAACTCCTGAACCTGGGCGCGAACTCGACCCTCCGCTCCCTCAGTGCCGCACTGCGGCAGCAGCTCCGATGGAGCCGGAAGACTGGAGCCTCTGAGCAGTTCGTCGGTCTGGGCCCCGCCAGCTGCGGAACGAAGGGTGTCAGGATCCAGCCTGGCCCGCTGGAACTCCGGGTCGTCTCCTCGGACAGAGCGGGGCGCCTCGAAGAAGCCCGAGAGCCCCCTGCAGTGGCCACCGCCCGGGAGCCGCACTCCGAAATGGCAGGACGGGAGCCCGGCGGAGACACCGAGGGCGTCGGCTCGGCGGCTGGCTCTCTCAGGAGCCCGGCGGAGCTGGACCCGGCGCTGGCTGGCCTGTGAGCCTCGGCAGCCTCTGCCGGGGCCGGAGCGGTCGCCTCGTGCTCCGAGGCACGGGCATCAGACGAGTCACCGGTCCTGGAGCCCAGACCAGACGGGGCCTCGGCCTCGAGCCGGCTGCCAGAGCTGGAGGCGGTAGTTTTGGCGGTGGAGCTGGTGGCCCAATCGCTGCTTGAGCCACAGGTTCTGGGATTGCTGGAGTCGGAGCTGGAGTTGGGAGGCTGCTGGAGTCAGGAGCTGGATTGGGAGCCGCTGGAGCCTCCACGCTGTTGGAGCCCAAGTTGAAATCCCGAGGGCCCCTGTGGTGACTTGAGGCCTCCTGGCAGGAGAGGAGGTAGGTCCTCCTCTGTCACCACGAACTCGATGGTCCCGCTCTTGCCACTGATGAAGATAGGCACCACTGCGACTCCGACCAGGGTAGCGGACCCGCCGATTCCTCGTGGCGTCTGAACGTTCTTCTCGATCCAGCTGATTTGTAGGCCACGTCGCAGCATGTCGCCCTCGAGCTCCCTCAAAGCCCGGCGACCGATGATCGCCTGTGAGGCGCCGCTGTCCACGATGATCAGGCCGTTCTCCAGGCTCAGCAGCGTGAGTTCCGCCTGGTCGGTATCTTGGCAGATGTTCTCCCTGAGAGTCGACAGAACCGCCCTGTCCAGGACAGTGATGCCATTGACGCTGTTGTCCTGGTCGTCGTTCGCCTCGATCGCCGCGAACGTGAAAGCCTCGACCTCTGCCCCTCCGGCCCGAGGCCTGCCCTTGCCGTCGCCCTTCTCCCCAGGACGATGGGGATTCTTGCACACCTTGTGTCAGTGCCCCACTTCTCCACAGTTGCCGCACTTCGTGATCAGCTTCAGCTGCGACGGGGTGAGCCGACGTTTCTTCTTCCAGAAGCCTCGGTCTCGCTTGAGCGCCGTCTTCAACTGCTGGATCTCCTTCCAAGTCTTCTTGGTCTTCCCGAGCTGCGCAAGTGTCTCGATCACCTCGGACTCCGCGAGAACTTTCTCGGAGATCTCCACAAGCACCATGGCTTCGTCGTCGGAGTCGAGCTCGTCAGTCCAATACGACCACTCGTAGATAGGTTCCTCGTTGGTCCCGGACGCCGCCCCGTATGGCTCTGGAGGAGTAGGCACCGTCTCCTGGTCCATGCTCACGAGCGATGACTGCTTGTTGTCGCCCAGGGCCTTCCCTCCAGTGTCCAGCTTCGGCAGCGCCCAGAGGATGTCCTCGCCCAGCATCGAGCCCTTCGTCAGGCTCTTGAGGTTTTGCCGTCCTTGCTCGTTGAGGCGAGCGTCCTGCATCAGCAGCATGCCCTGGATCTTCGTCGGGATCTCCATGCCGATGCTCTTGGACTTGTCAGACTGGCGCCTGCGCCTCTCAGCGAAGGTGTGCAGGTCTTCGTCCCTTCTGTGCTCTGTGTCCTGCATGGCCTCGCTGCCCGTCCGAAAGAGATCGTCGTCCTCGCGTTCGCTGGATCTGATGCCCATCCTACGCAGTATAAGCTTTACTGTCAGCTCGCTGTCCGTGATGTCCTCGAGGGTTGATCCAGCCTGGCCAGGGTGGAGCCGGCCTTGGCTGGGTCCAGGAGCTTTGCCACCAACCGGAGCCACTCTGCCGCGAGTCGTCTCGACGGCTACTCCAGTTGTGCCACACGTCGCTCTGGTCCCAGGTCTGGTGCTGCCAGGGTTGGTCCGCCCATCCCTTCCTCATGGACGGCGGGACGTGCGTGACCCGCCTCGTGAGAGGGAGCCGCACTGTGCTCTTGCCCGGCGATTCCCTGGAGGTCCGCCCTCGCTCTGCCGCAGATCTGTAGACCGTCCTCCGGCGCACCCGCCCAGGGCCTCGCCGGAAGTCGTCTGGTGAGCCACGCTCCGCCTCCCACTGTGGGCACGACGGGTTCAGGCGGCCATCGCAAGATGATCTGACTAGAATGCTGCATGCTTTTCCACTCAGCGCGGACAGAAATGGCTTGAGCCAAACGACCAGGCACAGGGTGTCTGGAAAACTCTGGGCCCTGAAATATGCATGAGGCAGACATGCAAACAGATGCAGAGAACACAGAGAACACTGCATAGTCAGGACGAGAGGGAGCCGTATGATTCCACAGAGACGGTCCCCGCGTTCTCCTCCCTCCTCCCCCGCACCCCTCCTCCCGCCCCCCTGCGTTTCACCCACCCAGTACAGCGTTTCGCGACCCCATGGGGAGCTCCACCGAAGGCCCCAGTGCCACCGTCCAAATGCGTCCCCCACGCACATTTCGGCACACACCCCTCACACATTTTGTGGCCGCATAGGTAGCTCCACCGATGGCCCCAGTGCCACCGTCCACATGCGTCCCCCACACCCATTTCGGCACACCCCTCACGCGCTTCGTGGCCCCATCCATAGGTAGCTCCTCCGAAGGCCCCAGTGCCACCGTCCACATGCGTCCTCCACACTTATTTCGGCACGCCCTTCACACGTTTCGTGGTCCCATAGGGAGCGCCACCGGAGAAGAGATTCACAATTGCCGTACGAACAACTGCATATGGTTGGGTCATTCGCCAGGCCAATTTGCGGCTATTGCTCGAATCTGTTTTTGACTGTGATTTATTCTTCGTCCACAATCTGCCTGTAGGAGGACATGCCCGACCTAATTCAAGTGTCAGGACGTAGGGGCAGGAGACCTGTGCGGTAACGTCTTGCTCCGTTTCCACTGCTCTCGACGGTTCCAGAAGGTTTTCCTCGGGATGTTTTCCCGGAGCTGCGCCTCGCCGAGAGCGCTCCAGGGGTGCCAGAGTCATTCCGAGCGGCCGCCGAGGGGGCCGAACGGGCTCGAAGACCGAGCCGCCAGGAGAGTGCTTCGAAGAAGTCTTGAGGCGGAGGGCGGAGGCTGCTCTGCAGTCCTGGCGCCGGAGGCTGCTCCTGGGCCCCGAGGCTGGCCTCCCGAAGTGGCGAACCAAACCGGCCGCCTCGATGTTTTCGAGCCGCCAGGTCTCTTGAGGGACAGCGACAGGGGGGATGGGCACAGGGGGGTAGCATCGACCCCCAATCGCCCATGGATCGCCGATGGGGGTCTGATATAGCCCCACCCCGCCCAGGAACGTGCGGATTTACTATCGGGGCCCCATGGCCGACCTATCGGCGATGCATCGCCGATTACAGGTCAGTGTTCCTCCCTATGCCACTCCCTCCGATCGGCCCCTCATCTCTGGGCAAGCTCGCTCGCGGCCTCTCCCTCGGAAATTTCGGCGCGCTGCTTCTCAGACGTCCGACGTGTCGGTTCTCGTCGCAGCGTGGCCTTCTGGAGGTCTACGGGTCAGGAGCGAACGAAGGAAGCAGGCTTACATGAACCCACGTCGGTTCCGAGAGTCTGCACTGCGCGGACGTTCGTGTCACGCGGCTGGTCCCACGGACTGAGGTGCTGCGTTTGCGCACGCGGTTGGCGCGTACGTCTTCTGTGGACTCCTTGTTGGGCCTCTTCCAGGGGGCCAGCCATGATGGGCACATGTTCCACCACCACCACCACCATAGGAAGGAGAGTGAGGAGGAGGAGGAGGAGGAGGAGGAGGAGGAGGAGGAGGAGGAGGGGGAGGGAGGAGGAGGAGGAGGAGGAGGGGGGGAGGAGGAGGAGGACATCCTCATCCTCCCCTTCTCCCCCGTCCGACACATGGTTTTGGTGGTGGAAGAGTTGCCCATCAAGCCATCTCAGCGGAGGTGGTGCCTGACGTTCTTGGGACCCGGCGAGGGCCCCCGCCGCCCGAGGGGGATGATGGTAATCTTTCCGCCGTGGCGCGGAGGCGTGTCGGAGTGCCTTCCCGCCCTCGGCCGCAGCTGGCCAGCAGGGAGCGAGGCACGCAGGCACAGGCAGAAATCATCGGTTCCCATAAAGATGTCCTAGGCCTCCTCCTCCTCCTCCTCCTCCTCCTCCTCCTCCTCCTCCCTCCTCCTCCTCCTCCCCCTCCTCCCTCCTTCTCCTCCTCCTCCTCCTCCTCCTCCTCCTCCTCCTCCTCCTCCCCCTCCTTCTCCTCTTCCTCATACCATGGCGGGGGCCATGACATCCCCCCGGATGTCATGCCCCCACCCACCACAGCACCCCAACCCAACCCGAAGGCCCTAATTGGCCCTCCATTCCCAGTGTCTGTAGGCCTTCCAGATGGGGTCGGAGCAGGTGGGGTCGGAGGATCGCGCCGCATCGCCGATGCATCGCCGATGCGGCTCGATGTGAGGCCCGATTTGCTTCACGTCGACGCCGGCGATGCATCGCCGGTGCATCACCGATGCATCGCCGATGTAATTGCGATGCGTTGCGATCCTCCGACCCCAACTTCTCGGGCCATTTGAAGGGCCCCAGGCGGTCAACAAATTATTCGAGATGATGGACGGGTCCCCGGGAAAAGTTGGCCCGGGGGAAGGGGTCAACATTTCGGGGGCCCACGCTCTTTGAAAATACCACGACGTCGGGGATCTGGGTCTCGTCATCACCCCTTGTCCCCTCTCCTGTCCTTGATACGTGTGCTCGGTCATCCTCCACCTTCTTCTCCGCATCCTTTTCCCTTTGCTCGTCCTGATGTGTTGCCTCCGTAGTCATTCCTTTCTGCCATCTTCCACCTTCCTCCGCCTCGTCCCTCTGGCAGCTCTCCCCCTCCCTGCACTAGGCCATAATGGTGTTCTCCTTCTGGTTCCTGGTGATCCAGTACTGCGACCCGTTCTACCGGCATGGCCCTCAGTTTCGTTTTGTTGCGCGCAGATTGGATTCAGTTCGGTTTGGCAGTCGAGGGTGATGATGGTATTGAGGAGCTCCAACCCCGCCTTTCTTGATAACGATTCCGACGCGAGAATGAGACGGATCTTCTTTTAGAAGAGGAGGTGGCGCCTAGGTAAGCGAAGCACAGCATAATGCAGTAAGTAGCTTCCACACGCCGAGAATGCAGACAAGACCGATGCTAGTCGAAAGCAAGTTGCAAGCAAGCGACTTCCAAGCTGAACACGTGTCGAAGGTAAGCGAAATCGACAGGCTAACGAAGAGCGAGCAGCACTGTGGCTAAGGTCGCGGAACACGGTACTTGGCGGCACGTTTCTTCAAATTGACAGGCGCGCCGACGGGCCATGGCAGCGGTCATGGATTTGGCAGCAAGCCGAGCCCAGCAGTTTTTTGTCGCAGCGGGGCAAAGGCAGCCCGCATGGGCGCTCGCAGAAGTCGGGGACGCCGACTCACGAATTGTCCTGGGGGCGCGGGAAGGCAGGGCGGCCGCGGAGGGAGAGGAGAGGGGGGGGAGGCACTCACAGGTGAAAGAAAGATCACGGCGAGCGCGCCGGTGCGTCCAGCCAGGGCTGCCGTGACAGAGCAGTGAAAGCGGGACGGGATCACGGCCACATCCAAGGATTTTAGCCAAGGTTGCAGGCGCTGAGAGCGTGGAGAGCAAGGTGCTTTCAGTACGCAAGTACAGAAGCCCTGGGAAGCTGCCATGGACGAGTGGTACATCCGTTTGGCGTAATTCAACACAAGTATTGTGTGTGAATATATGTATGTGTGTATGCATTTACTTACATAGATACGTATATACATAGTGGCTTTTGGTCCACTTTTCCACCGTTCCTGGGTTGTGAATATTTAGCCTATTGGATGTTCGTTGGGATCTCGTGGGGGCCATGTCGGGGGCCTCTTGGAGGCAGTTTTGAAGCCTCTCGGGGGCCGTTTTGGGGCCTCTTGGGGTCTCTTTTCGGCTTCTGGGGGGCCTCTTGGGGCCTCTCCTGGGGCCCCACACGGGAACCTCTTGGGGCGGAGCCCTCCGATTTTTGTTTCGTGTTCCCTCTCTTCGGGCCCCTGTCGGTTCGGGCCCCTTTCGGGACCGTCTTGGGGCCCTGTTGGGGCGTCTTGGGCGTCTCTTGGGCCGTCTTGGGACGCTTTTAGGCCGTCGTGGGGTCCTCTTGAAGGCCTCTTGGGCCGTCTTGGGGGGCCTCTTTGGGTCCTCTTGGGCTCATGGGGGGGTTCGGGGAGCCGCTTTCGGGGGCACAGCGTCCAGAGGTGGCGCAGGAAACACTTCCGAACTCACGGGAGCCAGCCCAGGAAACCTTGGGCATGGGACACCGTGGGAAGGCTTGGGACACGATTGGCTCGAGCCTTCAAAGATTCGCAGTTCTCGCCGCAGACGCAGCACAGCGTCTACCTCAGAGAACTGCGTCAGCCTTGGGGCATTCCACTTCGTGCCAGAGGCATGGTGGCGGATGTATGTGAACTTTCGCATGGAAGGTATCCATCTAGGCTTCCCAGATGGGGTCCGAGTAGATGGGGTCGAAGGATCGCTTCGCAATGCCGGAATATCGACGATGCGGCTCGATGTGGAGCCAGAATTTTCCCACGCCGATGGCGCGGATGCGTCGCAGACGCCGCCGGTGCATGGCCGATGCATCGCCGATGTATTGGTGATGCATTGGCGATGCGGCGCGATCTTCCGACCCCATTTGCTTGGACCCCATCTGGGAGGCCTAGAGGCATTATGAATGGAGGGCCAATTGGGGCCTTCCGGTTGGGTTAGGGTGCTGTGGTTGGGTTGGGGCACATGGGGCTCCACATCGAGCCGCAGCGGCGATGCATCGGCGATGCGTCGCGATCCTCCGACCATATTTGCTCGGACCCCATCTTGGAGGCCTCTACTTCAAAGAGCTTGCACCATTCTGCGGGCCCCCGGAGGGAGAGATGCGCGGCTTCCGATCTTCGTGGGTATCCTGCGTCGTGTTCTTTTTCCTTGGGGGGGGGAGTACACAGACACAGCTCATCGTCGATCCCCCAGAAACTAGAGGGAATGGGGGGGAAGACGAGCATCCAGAACATATTGGTAATGTGGTCTTGGGATTTGTGTGTGCGTGTGCGTGTGCGTGTGCGTGTGCGTGTGTGTGTGTGTGTGTGTGTGTGTTCGTGTGTGCGTGTGTGTGTGTGCGTGTGTGCGTGCGCGTGTGTGTGTGTGTGTGTGTGTGTGTGTGTGTGTGTGCGTGCGTGCGTGCGTGCGTGCGTGCGTGCGTGCGTGCGTGCGTGCGTGCGTGCGTGCGTGCGTGCGTGCCTGGGTGTGTGTGTGTGTGCGTGTGCGTGTGCGTGTGCGTGTGCGTGTGCGTGTGGACGTGCGTGTGTGCGTGTGTGTGTGTGTGTGCGTGTGTGTGCGTGTGTGTGTGTGTGTCTGTGTGTCTGTGTGTCTGTGTGTATGTGTGTGCGTGTGCGTGTGCGTGTGCGTGTGCGTGTGTGTTTGCGTGTGCGTGTGCGTGCGTGCCTGCGTGCGGCAGCGATCTGCAACAAAGGAACGCCAAATGCAAGCTGGACGCCATGCATGTGTGAATCTAGCGTGCTCGAGAGTCGTGGGACACTCAAACTCAAAGCTTTGATGCGTTCCGGCAGGCGGGCAACCAGCAGGCTCTGTCACAGACACAAACCAAGTCCGGGCGACAGGCCGTCTCTGGGATCCAGGCGGCGATTCTCTCAGAAATTCTAGACGCTTCGCGTATCCCCACCAGCCCGTCCAGAAACGACGCCCAGGCGAGAAGAGGGTCGTCCTGAGGGGCTTTTCGGCGTCTTGGGTGCCTCGGGGGGGCCTCTGTGGGCCGTTCGGGATCCTCTTTGGGGCCTCCTGGGGGCCTCTTGGGGCCTCTTGGGGCCATCTTGGGGCCTTTGGGGGCCTCCTGGGCGCTTCTTGGGGCCTCCTGGGCGCTTCTTGGGTGCCTCTGGGGTGTCTCTTGGGGCCTCTTGGGGGTCTCTTGGGGGCCTCCTGGGGGCCTCTTGGGGGGCCTCGGAGCCATCTTGGAGGAGATCGATCAACGAAGGGGGGTTCAATTACAGCCCCCCCCTCAGGAGCCATGATCCTCGTGAGGGGTGTCGAATTTTAGCCCTCCCAGGGGTAGGGGGAGGGGTAAACCCCTCCCCGAAGGGGAAGAAGGAGGGGTGGAAGAGGAAATGCTCTAAACCACCGACGCCCAGAGGGCTGGTGGGATTCCAGGAAAGGGGGTCGCACGCCCTACCCCATCTTCGCCTCCTCCTCCTCCTCCTCCTCCTCCTCCTCCTCCTCCGCCCCACGCCATACGCCCTACGCCCTACCTCCCTCCTCCTCTTCGCCTTCCCCCTGCTCTTCCTCGTCCTTCCTCTTCGATGGTTTCCTCCCTTCTCTGATAGCTCAAAAGCCAGGGTCTAGGTTGATGCAGGCAGCTGAGCTGACAGCGCCCATGGCATTGAATCAGCTTGACATGCTCTGGCGGCTCTGGTGTTGCACACATCGATGTTTCGCAGAGTCGGAAATGGAGGTGCTGTTCGTGACGGCGTCGGCAGGTCCTGATGAGGACAGCCAGCCACACGCCAAAACGCTGTAGACGGACATGACCAGGGGTGCCCGAGACAATGAGCACATTCAGTCTTAGAACAAGTGAAGGTGCGCGACAAGAGCTTCATCGCGGGGGCTTATTGCGGCTTGCATTTTCCAGCCATGCGGAGATGGTTGGCAAATTGTTGACGCTTCGCGAATCTCCACCAGACTGTTGGAGCCTGGCGCCCCACTGGCGATTCGCTCCTCGGGCCTCGCGCCTGCCCCCACTCAGAATGACGGACTCGGTTGCTCAGGTACACGTCTTGTCACTGTGTGGGTCGTGCCTCATGGCAGCCATCGCATTCCTCGACATTTTGTCCACTGCATGTGCTCGAGCTTCCCAGGATGCCCCCCGCCGTCAGCTCCCCCGCTGCCTCGCGGCTGCTATGTGAGTGGGCCGGCCGGCTAGTGCGCCTCTTGTAGCTAATTAGGCTTGCCCGTTGGCCTGGACACCCTGCCCGCCGCCTGCCTCTTCGCTCGCGGCCGCGACCGAAAAGAATCCCCACCAGTTCTTGCCCGCGCCCCGGACCCCCCTCTCGGCGACAGCTTCACGCGTCTGCCCGCGACCAAAAAAAAAGAATCCCCACCAGCCCATCCAGAAACGATGCTCAGAGGAATTGCCTCGATCAGGGAAGCGGGCAGCACACAGAGGAAGGGTCCCCCAGTGGAGGCTTCTTGGAGCGTCTTGGGGGCCTCTTGGCGGTCCCGCACGCCTCTTGGAGCTTGGGTGCCTCGGAGAGCTTCTTGGGGCCTCTTGGGGGTGGGTCTCTTGGGAGCCTCTTGGAGGCCTCTGGGGCGCCTGTTGGGGCCTCCTGGGGCGTCCTGGACGCCTCTTGGGGCCCTCTTGAAGCGCTCTTGGGAGCCTTGGGAGCACTCTTGGAGCCCTCTTGTGCCATCTTGGAGCCATCTTGAGGCCTCGGCGAGGAAGCCAACAACGTGGATTTCCCCACGGTTTTGGAAGGATTGTGGCCTCTGCGGGGCCTCCTGGTGGAGCTATTTGGCCACTTGGGGCCGTCTTGGAGCGGTCTTGGGGCCTTTTGGAGCATCGTGGGCGCCATCTTGAGGCATCTTGGGATATCTTGAGCCATCTTGGAGATCATCTTTGGCCCTGGCGCTTTTGGAGTCATCTGAAGCAGTACCACCCCCCAGGAGGCCAAAATGTAGCCAAAATCTTAGTAACATCAACGATGTTGGCAGTGTCGCCGAGGCCTCTTGGAGCGTCTTGGGTGCCTTTGGGGGGCCTCTTGGGGTCTCTTGGAGGTCTCTTGGAGGTCTCTTGAGAGCCTCTTGGGGGCCTCCTGGGGGCCTCCTGGGGGCCTCTTGGGGCTTCCTGGCCACCTCTTGGGGCCCTCTTGGGGCACCCTTGGGGGCCTTGGGGGCCATCTTGGGGCCATCTTGGAGGAGATCGATCAAACAAGAGGGGAGCTTCAATTAGGGTCCCCCCCAAGAGGCCAACATGGGGCCCAAACCACTATAAAACCAATGATGTTGGATTCCTCGCCGAGGCCGTTTTGGACGCCCTGACACCTCGCGACCCCCCCCCTGTCCAGGTCCAGGGGAGGGGGTAGGGGTAGGGGGAACCCCCTCCCCGAAAGGGAAGAAGGAGGGATGGAAGAGGAAACGCTCTAAACCACCGACGCCCAGAGGGCTGGTGGGATTCATGGTTATCAGCTGAACGTCTCGCCAGAGATCGACTCCTGCGTAGAGATTCAGCGACCTCGCGACGTTGTCGTTTTGAACCTGCTTGTTCCCGTGCTCGGCCCCAGCAGTCAGAGGAGTAGCAATCATCGTTTCAAAACATGGTAGCTTTGCAGGTGCCGTGTCCGAGTATGAGTCCGATCGATTGGCTCCGACGGCCCAGGAAGCCACAATGGGCCTCTCGAGCGACGTGCCCCACGAGAGTGCGTCATCCCGGAGGCAGACATGGCCCGAAAAAGGGGGCAGATGATTATTTCCCTGTAGAGGCCATAGTGCGAGGTTCTAGGTCGACGTGGGCAGCTGGGCCAAGGTTTTCATCGCGTGTGCACAGTATGTGCTGCATTTGGCAGTGATGTGGGGATGTTTAGCAAACTTCCTCTTCTCTCCTCCAGGCCCCCCTCCATTATCCTTATTTTCGTCATGTTTGCCCACCTCCCGCTGCTCCTGTTCCTGCTCAGTTGATCGCTCGTGTATCATCCTCCCGCCACTTTCCATTTTTTCCTCATCCTCCCCCGCCTCCTCATTCTCCTCTTCCTCCTCATTCTCGTCCTCCTCCTCCTCCTCCTCCTCCTCCTCCTCCGTCTCCTCCTCCTCGCCCTCCTCATCCTCGGCCGCCCGCTTCGTTCCCTTCTCTGCCCATCCTCCTCATCTTCCTCCTCTTCCTCTTCCTCCTGCTGCTCTTTCTCCCCCTCCTGCTTTGAGCCCCCGTGGACCTGTCAGGTAAGGAGGGGCTCAGCAGCAATGATGCAATGCTGGATTGTCATATTGTTTTCACCGCTGTTGTTGCATGACGGGATGTCGGGTGGCATACCGCGCTGTGTGCTTCGGGGTATAACCCTATTCACTGCTGCGCATCGGGGAGGATGGAAGAGGTGACGGGGAACTTCGATGTCGTCCTCTTTTCGGGCACACGCTGCGGGACTCGCTTCGCGGACGCCCAGGCCCTCGCCCGCTTCGCGGGAGGCCGCATCATTCATCGACGCACCGCGCATAGCGCCTCCAATCTCCAATTCCACCTGTGTCTGTGCAGTCGCTTTGAGCCCGTGCGTCAAGGCCCGGGACATTCGGAAGGTTTAGGGGGGGGCCCGAAGGAGGCAGGATGAGAGGAGCGGCGGTGCGTCTCAAACGAGGCCCCCTGGACCGTTGTGCTAAATGCTTACACCACCGCCCAACACCGTCAAGCAAATAGGCGTCGGCCTGTTAAAAGACCGTCGAAGTGTTCACTGATTGGCTGAACGGAGTCCTGGGGGAGCTACCTGCACGGCTCTTCACCCTTGGAGTCCGGGGACATTATCTACAGGATGGTGGGGAGGGAAGGCATCGCGGATCCTGGAGGAATGCGGCGTTCTCGGCGGCGGGGGTGGGGGCTGCGGGCTCGCCGCTCCCCCGGCGACGAGCCGCGGGCTCGTGTGTTGTCCTGTTCTTTTTCGTTCGCGCCGCCTCCCCCATCGCTCGTCCTGCTGCGCCGTGCCCTTGGGCCCTGGTGCCTTGCTGCTCCAGCGTCGTTCCCGCGTCCGCTTACTCGGCCCGCGCCTTTGCGTCTGCCTCCCGCGCTCGGACTCGGCCTCCCGAGGCCTCCATCCGAACGGCGGCGCTTGGCCCCTGCCCTCGGGAGTGCGGCTGCCCCTCGTCGGGCGGCGCCAGCTGCGGCGCGGCCTGCGCCCGCAGCGTGCGCCTTGGCGGCCGCCGCCCAAGCGTCTCGTGGGAGGGCTCCACGGCCTCCTTGGCCTCTCTGCTGCTGCTGCTGCTGCTCCTCCTCCTCCTCCTCCTCCTCCTCCTCCTCCTCCTCCTCCTCTTCCTCGTCCTCCTCCTCCTCCTCCTCCTCCTCCTCCTCCTCCTCCTCCCCTCAGCCTCTCCCTTTCCTGCTACACCTCCTCCTCCTCCTCCTCCTCCTCCACCTCCTCCTCCTTCCCCTCCTCCCCCTCCTCCTCCTCCTCCTCATCCTCCTCCTCTTCCTCTTCCTCTTCCTCTTCCTCTGCCCTGGCCTTTCTGCGCGCCGCCTCCCTCGTCGGCAGCGGTTGCTCCTCGGGTCGGAGCCTCCCCGCCTGCCGCGCGTGAGGAGATTGATCTCGCTCTGCTAATCCCTCTCCCGGACGCTCTCCCTTCCCCACTCTCGCCCCGATGCTTCCCTTCTCCGATTGGTACTCCCGATACGACGCCCCAGACCGCCGACGTCGTGATCGATATACCATGTGAAAGAGAACTAGGAGGCCTGAGCCGTTTCCCCAGGACCGCCTTCTTCTCCCGAGCCGTTTCTGGTCAGTCCCGGGGCCCAGTGAAGGCGCCCTGAAGCCGATAACATGCAAGATGTTTTGGTCGCGATCTGCACGACGAGACGAAGTGGTAAGACTGCGGGCTGCGCACACAGCCCCCCGGGTAGTCCCCAACCTTGGGGCGCGGAACGGCGCCAGGATGTTGAGACCGCCCCAGCCTACTTGGTGGGCTTGATGGGCCACCCGGGACCACCTGGCGGGACTGTCTGTGCAACCCGAAGCTTCACCATCCCCCTCATCCGCAAAGGTTCTGCAAGCGCCCGGGGGTGTTCAGCATCCTCACAACGTGGTGGCTCGCCGACGCCACTCGCGTGTCGCTGCTGACTCTGGAGCCACCGCGCGCGCGGCGACCACGGTCATTGACCTCTGGCTTCTCCACCCCTTCCCAGGTTAGAGGTCCTCGATCTCCTCTTCATGCTCCTCCTCCTCCTCCTCCTTCTCCACCTCCTTCTCCTCCTCCTCCTCCCTCCTTCTCCTCGGTCGGTCTGTCGGTCGTGCGGCCAGAGAGTCGAAGCCGAAATGGAGAGAAGAGTGCGAGAAGACAGCTGGGTGAAGAACAAAACAAGGCAACAGGCCCGAGAGTGGAACAAGGTGAAGCCGCGCCAAGGGCGCAGCACCGAAGGTGCAGGAGTGCCTGAGGTTACTACCTTTAATGTGGGTGTACATTATGAGACGGAAACAGACAGACAAGGGCGATGGAGAGGGACCTTCGCCCCAGGCAAGTGCAGGTATGATTGCAAGCAACGCGTTGGAGCTTATATCTCAAACACCTCAGTGTTATTGCATGTTCAACCGTGGGCGAGGAGGCACGCACTTGGCCCCGTCATAACATTCACACAGGGACTCCCCCCTAAGCACAGCCTTCCGTCTGAGCATCAGTCATGGGGACAGAGGAAGAAATAGAGTGATTCGGTCCGTGCACATATAACGCACAGCAGTCACTGGGAACCCTTGTTGTTATGAATCATGCAGTCCATGGCAAACGCGGAGATCACATAAGGGTCATTGGGAACATAGTACCGACGCAGGCCCACCAGTAACTCCCAGCAGTCCCCAGAATTTCCAAAATCCAAAGATTCTCGTAGGCAAGCCTCGCGAGAAGGAGGCCAACGGAAAGGGGAGAGGGGAACGCCAAATCACACATGGGGAACAAACGGGCTAGGGACAAAGCTGGGGGTACTGGGGCAAAGGTGGGGAAACCTGGATCGAATGTCCTGGAACATAGTAGCTACAATACAAAGACAAAGCCTCGAGGGGTAAGTCTTGGCGCCCGATGACCCCAGAGGGTTATCTGTCCGTAGGCCGCCGAACGCACGATGGGGAACACGATGATTGCACAGCTGTCCGCCTGGCATGGCCCCAAGAAATTGGCCCATGTCGGACAAATGAGCACACAAAAGGACGGCAGGTTTAACAGCTTTGGCCCCGAAGCGGCATTGGTGGATCAGATGTTCAGTGACTCCTTGTCGGGCTGCCAGCCGTCGGACTCCTGGCAGTAGCCACACACTAGGACAATCTGGAACCCTATCATCATGGGCGGGGTGTTCGAGCACGGCAGGAACCCCGTGGACCCAGGCCTCGCACAACAAAACAATAGTGCCGCGCGCAACAACTTACTGCCTAGCTCAACTTGGGAGCTCTCGCGGGTGGTTAAATGCCCAAGTCCCCACAATTTGACGGCCGACCTAAGTGGCCGACGTGGTCTGGGTGAATCTGGAGCGGGCCTGTGTCTGGCGACTGACCGTGTCTCACATGGTGGTCCCGCCAACACTCCTGCTACTCTTCCTGACCGTAGAAACTCAAGCCAGAGGTGAGTGGACTCAGTCCTAGTTAGGTCACCAAGGAATGGTTGGTTGATAACATCAAGGCTCAAAACATAAAGCCTGGTAGCATGCCGCGCCTGCAACGCTTCGGAAATGATCCGGAACATCTTTGGCCTTTACGTGCCAAGAAAACAAATTCAGGACAAACATGCAACCGCATGGGCAACCCAACATCAGCTTTCAAGGCATGGCGTGTCGTAGTGGGCGCCACCGCGACACGGTAAGCAGCACGAGTCATTTTGCTCCCACTCGCAACCCTTGGTCACGTCACCGTAGCGGTATAGTCTCGCTTGGGGAAGTTTTCGGGGTGTTGGCAGAGGGGGCGCACTCACAAGTCTCCTTCGCCTCTGTGCAGGTCTCGGTTTGCTGAGACGCGTTGCCCCCTGCGTGCTCAGGATGCCGCCGTTGACGCCCTTTTGATGAGCCTGTTTTCCACCACCACCACCACCACCATAAGTTGGAGTGGGGAAGGAGGAGGAGGAGGCGGAGGAGGATGAGGTGGAGGAGGAGGAGGAGGAGGAGAAGGAGGAGACCCCCTCCCCCTCCAGTTCATGGTGGTGGTTGTGGTGGAAAACAGGCGCATCACCTGTGCTTCTGAATCGGCCGGAAGGGCCGAGAGGCCGACCACGTCCAGGATTGAACAGGGCCCCCTACACCTGGCGCGAAGGAGCGCCAGTTCAGCTGCCAACTGTGCTGGTTAAAGCAAGCATGGAACAGGGAGCCTCTCCTTCTCGCTCTCTCGCTCTCTATCGCTCTCGCTTGATGGGCCTGTTTTCCACCGCCGCCACCAGAAGTTGAAGGCGGAGGGGTTCCTCCTCCTCCTCCTTCTCCACCTTCTTCCCCCTCCAACTTATGGTGGTGGTTGTGGGAAACAGGCCCATCATCTCGTTCTCGCTCTCTCTCTCTCTCCCTCTCTCTCTTTCTGTCTCGGTGCAGCACGAGTCGGCCAAACCTATGTTTTTCCCCACATCCAAAGCGGGGTTCTTGTTTTCTCTGCACACGCCGCGCAGGATCTCACACCCCCCCTTTCCTCTCTCTCTCTCTCTCTCTCTCTCTCTCTCTCACACACACACACACTCATCATCATCATCACCATCAACCACCATCATCGCAATCACACGCACACACTCATCATTACCATCATCATCCTCACCATCAACCGCCATCACCGTTATCACTACTCACCATCATAATCTTTCATCACTACTCATCATCATAATCCTCCTCATCATCATCATCGTCACCATCATCACCACTCGATCATCCACTCACTCACTCAAGTACTCACTCATCCTCAGTAGGCTTCGGAGGAAGTGGTCCTCCGACGGTAGGACCGCCGCCACTCTCAACATCATCGTCACCATTTCCATCATAATCTCTCGACCACCCACTCAGTGGCCATCATGATCATCATCAGCATCATCATTCATTCATCATACACTCATCATCATCATCATCATCATCATCATCATCATCATCATTCACTTACTCATCATTTCGTCATCACTCGTTCCCTGGATTGAATATGGAGGTAGTATCAGGCGGGAGCTCGTCTGTGAGTGAATTGTGAGGAAGTCTCAGGCAGGAGCCCCTCCCTATGGGGCCCGCGCCTCATGTTTTTAATCCGAGGCGGATCATTCGAAACGTGTACCTGTCGTCACTTTTGGGCCCCTGTGGCGAGAATCTGGAGGAAGTATCAAGCGGGAGCCTCGTCTGTGACTGAATTGCGACGAAGTCTCAGGCGGGAGACCTCTCCCTATGGGGCCCGCACCTCATGTTTTTAATTCGAGGCGGGTCATCCGAAACGTGTAACTGTCGTCACTCTTGGGCCCCTGTGGCGTGAACCTGGAAGAAATATCAAGCGGGAGCCTCGGCTGTGAGTGAATTGCGACGAAGTCTCAGGCGGGAAGCCTCTCCTTATGGGGCCCGCACCTCACGTTTTTAATCCGAGGCGGGTCATCCGAAACGTATACTTGTCGTCACTTTTGGCCTCCGGAGGGCTTGAATAAGGAGGATGTATCAGGCGGGAGCTTCGTCTGTGAGTGACTTGCGAGGAAGTCACAGGCGGGAGCCCGCCGGTCTGTCTCCGCGGGAGTCCCCGCGCTGAGCCAGCTCGAAGCATGCGAGCTGGAGCTGAGGCGCGGGAGGAGGAGGAGGAGGAGGAGGAGGACGAGGAGGACGAGGAACAGGAATTGAGGAGGACGACGGCGGCCGGGCGCAGGGGGAAACCCTTGCGTCTGGGCCGGGGGTGGTAACCCATCCTCGGCCGAAGCGGCGGCCGGGCGCAGGGGGAAACCCTTGCGTCCGGGCCGGGGGTGGTAACCCATCCTCGGCCGAATCGGGGGCAGGGGTAACCCCTTGTCTCCGGGCCGCCGGTGGTAACCCATCGGCGGCCGAATCGGGCGCAGGGGTAGCCCCTTGCGTCCGGGCCGAGGGTGGTAACCCATCCTCGGCCGAATCGGGGTCTTCTCTCAGATCCCCTGCGTCTTCGAGCTGAAGGGCACAAAGCGCTTCGAGCCGGGGGACCCTCTGATCGCGTTCTTGGGCTGCACGCGCGAGGCCAAGCGCTTCCCACCAGAGGTCTGGTCTGCCTGGGAGAGGACGTTGGCCTCTGACAACCACGGCGGCCTGGACCCACGGCACCAGCACGAGAATTTCCGGCTCGGCTACGGCATGGGCATCTACTGGGAGACGTTGGCGACGTGGATCAACACGCGCGCTCGTCGCGACGCGCGGCGCCTCGGCGTCCCCCTCGTCTTCCTGCGGGCCGTAGACGAGTGCGGCGCGATTCAAGGCGACCCAGACGCAGGCCGGCGCCTCCTGAACGTCCCGAACATGCACAAGACGGGGGACATCCACGGCGCCATACCGGCACGCGCCGGCATGGAGGTCCGGTTCACGGCCGCGCAGGAGGAGTTGCAGAAGAAGTTCGGGCTCGTGCAGGAACAACGGGCCACCATCGTGTCCTTCGAGTTTCACGCAGACGACGAGCGGGACTACGAGGAGCGCGCGCCGGGCCAGCTCTTCCGCCCCCGCTACCTACCGCAGGGAATCTGGCTGCAGGTGCACGGCTTCCAGGAGTCCCCGATCTACAAGGAGGTCGCCGAGGTGCAGCAGGGCGCCGACGGCGCTGCCGACGACGCCGAGGCCGAAGCGCGGGCGAGGAGCTTGCTCATGTTCAGGCCCAGCGAGCAGGAACTCACGTGGCAAAGCTCGGGGGTGCACACTTTGCGCCGCTCGGGGTTCACCCCGACGCATGCGTCCTACCTGACCTCCACGCTGTCGCAGGGCCAGACGCTGCGCAAGGGCGTCACCATCGACTGCGCCAGGGATGAGGACGCTGGCCGCACGGGCACGTCGGACGAGATGTGGTGGCTGCACTTCTACGTCATGTTCTCCCGCGCCACGCGCATGCGGAACATGCTGATCCTGCGGCCGCCCGCGCGAGAGTACCTCGAGCGCGGGCCGCCGGCGTCGCTGCGGAAGGCGCTCCAGGAGTTCGACGAGAGAGCGGCGGGCTCCAGGGCTGAGGCGGAGCAGCTCGCGGCAGAGCTGGGCTTCGTGCTGCCGCCCGCCTGGGCGCCGCGGCGCGCGCCTGGAGGCCCGTGGGGTTGCCCCAACGGCTGGCCCCCGCGCCCCTGCGGCCTGCGCGGTTGCCCCAACGGCCTGGCCCGAAGGGTTGCCCCGACGGCTGCGCGATCTAGCCGTCGGCAAACGTGCGCGCGCTGGCCGACGCGGCGACGGCGCCGAGGAAAATCGAGTTGCTTGCCGCGACCAGGGGGGGCGGGAGGCGCACGCGGAGAAGAGGCAGGAGGGCGCGGAGTGAACGGGCATGGGGGAGGGCGACGACGAGGAGGAGATGGCGCGAGAGGAGGAGGAGGAGGAGGAGGAGGAGGAGGAGGAGGAGGAGGAGGAGGAGGAGAAGGAGGAAGAGACATAGAAGGAGGAAGAGAGGGCAGCGCAGAGGGCGAGAGGAGAGGCTGTCCGCCAGGGGGGAGGAGGAAAGGGCAAAGGGTAAGCTAAACACGTTTTCGCGCGGGGTCCTACTGTCGGAGTAATGGATATGTTTTGGGCCGTTTGCGCTGCGACCTCGCTCCGCAGCGGAGGCGGACTGGGGACAAACGAGGGAACGCGTTTCCGTCGCCCCGCGGCAGAGGCAACCCGCTTTCGCGGTCCCAGCAGCTGGAGCAGAGTGCAGTGATTGTCCGGCAGCCAGGGCAAGAGGCAGGGCAGGGGGCCACAACGAGGAAATACCATTCTGGTCGAACCCTGCACTTCGGGGCGTGTCCCCGCCCGCCGCTCACCTCAGCTCGGCGGCGTGCGGGCCGGTTGACTTCCATGCTCACCGTAGCGCCTGCAGGCAACCGATGCGGGTCAGTTGGACGTCGCGCGACGGGAGGGCGATCAAGTGGGGTGGAGCGAGGATTGCAGAATAGGGCCCGAAGGGGGGCCTTGAGACCAGAGACGTGTGCTTCCCCCCCCCCTCCATTCGATCGCCCCTGATTTGTTCACGCCCAATTTTCGCACGACCGCCCCGAGTCGGCGTCGATGGGTTCAGCTCTGTGTCAGCATTGTCTGGCGCTTTCGGTGTTTGTTGACGGCTTGATGTGAGTCCCCCTTACTTACTTGGATCTCCGCGGTGGATGCTAAGTGGATGTTAGGGTGGGATTTATCTGGCCCAACCTAGCTTACAAGTGGGTTGCAAGTGGGGGAAACTGTCTGGGCTGAGCAGGCGGAGATCGCTGAGCGGAGATGCCCAACCCCTCGAAGCCGTTTGGGCCATTTACATGCATCCCACTCGTAAAGTGCGTTCGGCCACATGCACCCCCCCTTGGAGTCCACTTCTAAGCTCACCTTGTCGTATGAGGCTCGAACCTACGTAGCCTGTATCACCAGAAAGAAGTTCGAGCACCAGAAAGGTACCGAAACGCTCAGGTATTCACGTATCGGGCCCGGGGGGACACTCGCCCGACACTGTTTCGACACTGTTTCGACACTTTTCCAGGTGCCTGGAATGGTTTCAGGGACGTGCTCTTCAAATGCGATGGCAACGACACAACCCTCGTCCCCTCCAGCAATCCGCAGCCCCCGCGGTGATCTCTGACAACACGCCCCCTCCCCCGCGCGCCTTCGGCCCCAGGAGCGGTCGGTGACCTGCCTCCCCACGCTCTCCAGGGGCCTTTGGCAGGCGCGGGGCGCTGCGGGCCTGGCGCCTCCGCATCTCCTGGAGGAGGGAGGACGGAAGGAGGAGGAAGGAAGGAGGAGGAGGGAAGGAGGAGGAAGGAAGGAGGATGACAGAGGAGGAGGAGGAGGAGGAGGAGGAGGAGGAGGAGGAGGAGGAGGGAGGAGGAGGAGGAGGAGGGAGGAGGAGGAGGCGGAGGAGGAGGAGGAGGAGAGGGGAGGGGGAGGGAGGAGGAGAGGAGGGGAGGAGGAGGAGGAGGAGGAGGAGGAGGAGGCGGAGGAGGAGGAGGAGGAGGAGGAGGAGGAGGAGGAGGAGGAGGAGGAGCCGCCAGGCCGCGGCCTGTGTAGGGGGATGGGGAGGGGGCTGCGCTGCGGAATGGGTGGTTGGTCCCTGGGTGGTGCAGCTAGGACCGTAGCGGGCCACCCCGACCGACCGCATCGCGGGGAAAGCTCTGGGATCTGGCTGGTGGCCCTGGAGGCAGACAGCGGTGTCCGCGGGGACGGGGCCTCGGAGAGAGTCCGCGGGGCCAGAGCCTCTTGGACGGCCTCCAGGCTACATCATTTCGGTAGCAAATCATGGAAGCCTGGTGCGCCCTCTTAATTCCGTCTTCAGTGTCGACTAGCGTCCACTAGCGTCTGGGAGTCGATGCGAAAGCGCCGATTTAGCGTCGGCCAGCGTCGACTAGCGTCGATTGAGCGACGACTAGCGTCGATTCGCAAGAGCCGACAAGATGGCATGGGAGGCTCCCATGAGCTGCCACAGAACATCATCCCCGCGCCCTGCCGAGGGAGGAGGGGATGGGCCACTCGTAGGGAGGGGCTGCCCACCCGCTCCCGGGGCGCACTCCTTCCCTCTCGGCGGCACTTCTCCTCCAGGCACGGGAGCGTGCCACCTGCCCACGGGCGCGCGGGTGTGGTGCTGGGCCCCACGGAGTCTCGCACCGCACTCTCCGCGCAGTGGCCGAGAGGGTTCCACGGTCCCCGACCTTCCCGGGAGGAGGAGGGACGGGAGGAGGCTGGGGCCCGAAGGCCCCCGACATCCTCGCGTCGCGGAAGATCACCACAGATGCTTCATCAAAAGGACTGCCTCCGGGGCCCTCGCCAGGCCTGGGGACTGTCGACGAAGCTGCTGGGGTCCAGCCCCTGAGATCTGGGCGTTGATTGTTTTGTTGTTCCGCTCGGTCTCGCTCGCTTGCAGGCCCCGGGACCCTCACGGACCCCTGACATTTCATTTCGTTCCCGTCTGCCCACCTTGCATGTCGCGGTCGTCAGACCCCACGGGATACCAAGATTCCTTGAGTGTCCCGGCTCGCGTCCTCAACGAATGACGGCATCATACCGCGGTTGCCAGACCGCGCAGGACTCCAGGAGTCCTTGTCCCCCGCTGCTTTCCCCAGGGCGTCGCCCCCGCCCAGGCCCGATCAGGGAACGCCCTGGGGGCCCTCAGGGCAGGGGCTCGAAAAAGTTTGGATGACCAGAGCGTACAACACATCGGCCAACCAACGTTTACAGGGTTGGCTGAACGAGGCAGCGGAGAACGTGAACGTGGCCCTCGCCTAGGAAAGTCTTACGTGTGGGGCCCAGAAGCTGAAACATCCTTTGCCCGACCCCACTTCCACCGCGCAAGCGAAAGCATAGACTGTGCAACCCTTGGAGGTGACGGACAAGGCGTCTGTGATCAAGGCGACGATCTTCGCATCAAGCCATCTAGGAACGGATCCAAAGGAGGGGGCAACGAACAATTTTATGTAACAGTGGCTTGTGTGGTTCCGTGTCTTAATATTGCAGACAGCCCCGATGGGGAGGCGTCACAGCTTCACGCCTCCCAGGCGTCACGACGCATGTGCAAAGAGACGTAAGTCATCGAAAGCTGGAGCACAGCAAAAAGGACACACATGTCATACCAGCCACACGGTGATCTAACAGAGCGTATCACCAGAGTTTCCCATAGCCGAAGATCAACTTATGAACCGGTGATAACCGAAAACGGCAGCACATAACATAATATTGCATGCATAAGCTGGACATGGCACTGCCAAACATTCCATCCAATCGCATAACATTGTATACCACTTTCTAGCACAACATATTATGGAACAACATAACCTTAATTACACAGCACTACACATGCTAATAACACATATCGAGGGTGGACAGACCTCCTACACTGACACGTCGATTAGCGAATTGGCCGTTGTCGGTTCGCGAGAGGGCGTCGCGGGCGTCATTTCTGCGGGTCCAGGTCCGTCGGTTTCGGTCCTGGGCGAGGTTTACTAAAGGGAGGTTTGTCCACCGCCGAACATTACATCTGAGTGATGGGGCCGAACGGTCATTCACTGTCCCTGGGTGCGTGGCTGAAGTGGGATTCCGCGGTGCGGATTCTCGTTGTTGTTGTTGTTGTTGTTTGTTGTTTTGTTGTTGTTGTTGTTGGTGTTGTTGTTGGTGTTGTTGAACATTATTAATTCTAAAGAATAATTATTGTTGGGACCCCTGGTGCACGGCCCCCCCGCCGCGCCTAGGCCGCAGCTACATTTTCATCATTTTTTCGCGAAAGCTTCAGAAAAGTGGATGGGGTCCAGATCCGGTTGTTTTGTTGTAGTCCGTTTTCCCTTGCAAAAAACACTATAAAATGACATTTCTTGTTCTAATATAATCAAATTTCAAGAATCCCTTGCAAAAAATAAGGTAAAGTGGACATTCGCGCGCGCAAGACGAAATCCTTCCAAAAGCTTAGTGTTCGGAGCGATTTTAACATAAAAACATCAAAAAACCAATGGTTTTTCAACAAAAAAATGTCAAAATCTCATCCCGCGCGCTCTTGCGGATTCGTAGGAAACCCAACACTTTTTTAAACATTTCTGTCAAACGGGCTTTTGCGAGCAACTTTTTCGAACTTCTGCAACAACGGTTGCGCACCTGCCAGGGCCATCATCCCTGTCAAATAATACCATGCGGGACACATTCGT